AACTAAAATTGAAACCTATTAGAACCTTATATCTAATATATATTGTATAATAAAAAATCTCTATTTATCTTAAAATCAGATCTTAACCCTAAGTAAAACATATAGGATATTATATAACACAGGTATTATGAATATAATATTCTTTTTTTATATTAATATTTATTTATCTACTATTTTAATAAAAATTTTTTTTAACATTTTCTGAGACGGCCTGTTCTAAAAATTTTTTGGTATTTTTAAAATATTGAACAATTTCTTTCATATATAAAATTATTACTGATCATATTAGTTAACAAAGCTAATTTATCTGAGCTTGAAATAATAAAATAGCATATTATTGATCTAGAGCCTGATAATGCTAAGATTATGCTTGAAAAAGCTAAACTTGAAGCTAAAAGTACTAAACTTAAAGCAAAAATCAAGGAGTTAGAAAAAATAAAAGTATTATTACTAAACTTGAGTCTAAGAATGCTGAGCTTAAAGCTAAAGTTGCGAAATTAGTAGAGAATTATTGACAAATACAAAATAGTAATATTACCAAGATAACTAATTCTTTTAATAATTGTTTATCTATCTTTAATTCTATTACAGAGCAAATATTAAAGAGCAAACAGTGTGAAGAAATAAATACTTCATTATCAAAAGAAGCAATATCAGAAGTTTTATCTTCCAGCTCTAAGTTATTGAAGAAAATAAAGATAAATGCTTTCTTGGATAAAGTACTGTATATAAAAAAAGGTTAGTGATGATATTAGGCAAAAAAATTAGAAAAAAAATATCAAGCCCAAAAGTATATATGAGTATCTAAATTATTTTACTTTTGTCATAAATTAAATAGCTAAATTATTTTAGATAGTCTAAATTGTAAATAATTTAGACTACAAAATTATTTTAGGTTTCTCAAATATTTTAAAATATTTACAATATTTGAGAATGCTTGAAATATTTTAAAATATCAAATATTTTTGGATGTCTAAAATATTTTGAATATAAGAGTGTGGTGACTTAGTGAAGTGGTTAAGTTGTCGCATCCCAAGTGATATGTTGATTAGGTAGGAGGTTCGAAACCTATTGGTGATGAATTTCGAAAATTCTATCTATACGATAGCTATTATCATCTGATTAATGGTTAAAATGAGATCACTGTAATCTTGGTAATACCAACAAGATTGGGAGATTATAGAGTATTTGTGTGATATACGAGTTACACAAATAAGCTTCCAGATCATAATAAACTCAGAAAACCAGAAAGAACAACAAAATCTACCTGGCAAGGCTCGAGTAGAGAGGTAGTACAGATCATTAATAGTACTATGTAAAGGATTATTACTAAGAGAACTGGCAAAACTGAATAGGACCAAAGTGTTTGGCAAAGTACTCTACCAACTAGGCTGCTAGAAGAGTAACCAAAGAAAAAGAACCTAACTGTAGGGACCAGAGCAGGTCACAGCCCTTCCGAACTATCTGAATTGGTAGTTTGAGATTGTTAGAATTAAAATCGATAATAGTCTGTAAAGTATATACTGAGGTTTGGGTGAACTCTACAAGGACAGAAGTAGATAATAGTAGTGGTCTTAGCTCGCAAGTACTTGTTCTCAGACTCAGCGTAAGTTACTGAAGTCTAGGTTAGCCAGATTGTGAATATGGAAAGCTCTAGCAAGTTTATCTCGATGGTAAATTAGCCCTAGGTTAGACGCTTTCTATAGCAGGTATTGGTTCTTCATAAGGATATAGCAGTACAGAGAGTTTAAATAGATAATCTCTAGTTGAATTATAGGTATAGCATTTAGTGTAGAACCTTTGGGCAGACTACTTAAATAAACAATTAAAAGTTATACGTATGGCTAGTTGTACTTTCTAAAACCATATATCAAATAAATAGCTGCTGACTTTGATCAGCTTAGCATATAAACTAATAAAAGCAACTGACTATAGGGTTACTTTGATATTAAAAAAAAAATAAAAAAATTCTGAATATTAAAAATTATTTAATTAGAGTTATATAACACTTTCTATGATCCTTGTCAATTGTTTTCTAAATAATAAATCCTTAAATATAAATGTCTATATAAATAAATTAAGGGGTAGTTCGCAGCTGAAGGGTAAAAATTTCATAGTGAAAATCGGCGGAATCACTTATAGAATTTTAATAG